CCAGTAGAGAACTTGTACCTCGCTTGAGTTTGACATACATTGAATATAAGTATGTGGTAGCAGTGGAACTGCCGAGGTAGATATGATAAATGTTTATATACCGCCGATGAATAGCTGTACACAGCATTATTTACACCGGTAATGACCGAAGGTTATAACCGCCTGTTACTATGGGATTGTAATGCCCACCATGAGTTGTGGCATTCCGTCCTAGGTAATCACCAGAGGGATACAGAGACATTTACAGTACGTGGGTACCTGCCTGCCGGTCTTACCCCACGGTGCTGTAAACCCCAGTTAATACAACGCTTCAACCAACGCTCCCACACCGAAGTGTAGGTACCAATCGATCACACTTATTTGGATGTAATCAACAATGAAACAATCGCTGAAATGGGATAAATAACAATAGTGACCATTAGTATCCACCCCTCCCAAAAATTGATCCACAAGCCTGCTAGTTCGGGAATGGTCTCCACAAACCAAACTCTGCGCTTGCTAAACAAATTGATAGGAGGATGAGGATGTCCCCACGAGGATAAGAGGAGATTGTCACAGTTCGCCAGACATCGCCATTGTGGCACCGGGTCTGATAAATAACGTAAACCAAGCAACACGTCATTTTACTGGGATCTGAAAACATTTGTATCATCGTCTTCATTAACAGATCACCCGACTTAATTACCTCTGAACGCCTCAAGCTGTAGAGCAATATCGTGTGAATAAAATTATCTTCTCCGACAAACACGAGTAGATTTAGCTCAACTAAGATCAGAATGGCTATGGACCCAAAAAAGCATTGAAGTTACAACATTTTTTAATTTGGAAATAGAAGAGAAGTTACAACATTTTTTTAATTGGATATAGAGGAGCCAGAACCACACGATACATAACATATAAAATTATGTATTTTATTGCTACAACAACAACTGCTGATTTCAGTGATGGCAGAAGTTACAGCAATACCCGTTCGTGAATCGCAGAATCTTCATTTAATTTCAATTTGATTTTGCTGACGGAATATTATCTTGAAGTGTGTTGAAAATATCGGTGGACGTTTTAAAAGATTCGCTCCGAAGAACATAATTTTTAGTCCAAATATACGTTGAATGACTCATATGTCTACGTTAATGTCATAACTAATTGATTTGCTCTCCGTGAAATCTTCAACTGTTAGCAAATTAACTGCACGAGTATAAAAAATCTAAATTCAGTCTAATTCTCAAACTGAAAGCATTAAGTTGGCTTAATTGCATTGTGAAAAAAATATATCGCACATCACCCACCCATCTCACCTTATGGCTAAATACGAATTTATACAAATTATTTTTATCATCCTTGTGGCAAGTACAACAATTTGTGGAGTATATGGCCAAGGTAAGGGTAATAAGAAAGGTGGACCACAAGGCCGACCTTTTCAAAATGGTGGCGGACCACCCGGTCACAATAAACAACACAAAGAACATCCTGTGTTTGGTGTTAATCCCTCGGAGAATAAAGGATACAAAGGTGGCAAAGATGAACCACCATTGATTGTACAGACACCACCGGAACATTTACCACCCCCACCCTCATATGGATATATAGATACGCCTGCACCTTCCTTACCCCCAGCACAAAATCAATGGCCACCAATCGTTCAGCAGCCAATACCTAGCATACCCAACACGGGTCACAATCAAGGAACTCTAATTCAACAAACTGTGGATGATCCTCTCAATGTGATGAAACATCCCATATACAATCCCGTGCCACAAACGCCGCCAGTTAGTCAGCCAAATAAGGATAGATATGGAGATTATGATGAGGATATCTATTTACCGATTGATATAAGAATGGCATGATTTGTTTCTATTGTTTTTATTATTTTTTTGTTAAAAATGTTTTTACCATGTTTATAAGAAAATAATAAAGTGTTAAATATACAGAATGAATAGCTTATACAAATCGGGTTTAACTATACTCAAATTTTGAGATATGTTCATATAGGATCGCAGTTTGACATTTATTTAAAATCGATCATTATGGCTTCAAATTGCAATGATTTCAATAAATAAATATTAATAGCTAGCATAAGCCCAGTACTTTGTTAGCGAATGTGAGAATTACTTAAACATAGTCTCAAATTCTCTCGATGGCTAACCAAATAAGCAAACTCACGCGTAATGAGCAAAAAAAATTGATACAATTTTTAACTTGATATTCCATGAAAAGATTGTTAGTCAGCGGGAAATTTCAACCGACTATTTGTGATTCAACGCAGGGTGGCTTATTAACTCTGTCCAACTGGGTCCAGGCCAATGGTCTTGGAGAAGACCCAAGAAGACAGAAATGGTAATCTTCACTAGAAAACCATCTTTGGTTGGAGTCATCAACCCTTTCTTTAAAAGTAAAATACCTAGGTACAATCTTTGCTTACAGGCTAACGTGGAAAAGGAATGTTGATGAACGCAAGAACTATATAGGTAAAAGTTGGGACTGTAAAGGTTATACTCCGCATACTAACTTATTATTGCATTGTATGGTGGCAAGGGCTCATAATGCGTACACTGCTGGCCAAAATGAGTAGCGTACTGCGATCAGCGTCGATCCTGATTACCGGGTCACTAAGGAATACACCACGAGCGGCTATAACCACTGGATTTCTCGGTAAAATTCCAAGCTGCAAGATGTGTCTCGAGACTACGGGAAACGGACAAATGGAAAGTTATAGAATTACAGATTGTGATTTTTTGATTCCTCCCATAATGACTTTGAAGACATTAGATTGGATTTTCCTAGCTGGGAATCAGTGGCTGTTTTCCTCTGGCAGGTCTGTCGCTATATACCGACGGCTCCAAGATGAATGATGGCACTGATGCAGGTGTTTACTGTAAGGAATTGGTAATATATAACTCATATAAACTTAACGATGTCTGTAGTTTTTTACAGGCAGCAATTCCAGCGTTTAAGAGAGTCAAAACACTTCTGCTGATATAGAGGACCAGTAACTATGTATGTTGATAGTCAAAAGGTCCTTACGGCACTAAAATCGTGTACTACAAACTCAAAGCGATTCTTGATTGCATAGTTAAAGTTATATAAGAGAGAGAGAGAGAGAGAAATTTAATTTATGATTGATCGCTCTACATCTACATCAGCTAATAATACAACATAGATGTCCAGGGACCAAATTAGATAACCGCCATAAACAAAATTGAACTTGCTCTGAAAGGGGGTTTGACCAAGAGAGCTACTATGGTCTGTGTAAGCAAACTACCGATTGATACAAGACGCTAATACTACCCGTGATCGTTACAACCACCTATTGGATATTTCATTGGCAAAATCCGAATGAACTACTGCGAGAGAGCCGGTAACAGATGGTCAGCAGAACCTGGTTGCAGGTTCTGCTGATGAGATGCGCACAAGACCGACGCGCCTGGAAATCTTTTTTAAGCTCGGCTTATGGATCAAACGTTTTTCGATATTTGGCTTTAATATGGAAAATAACAGAATTGCACAACTGATCTGAAAAAAATTAAAAAAAAAAATACTCGCGTATTGGTGTCCAGATCTTTAAAAAATCTAGTCTTTTTATCTTACTTAGGTGTCTTTGTGACAACTATGGATATTTATCACAACTCTGAAACCAACTTTATAATTTTTAGATCGAAGAAAGCCAATGAAACATTACACAAATTTCATTAATAGGAAATGAAATTCCATAGAATATACAATATTTATATAAAAGGTATTCGTTACGAATCAACTTAAAATTGCAATCAACCATTTATTTGCGAATGACAATATTCAAACAAATCAAATATGCATAAAATAATTGAAGTTGATATTTGTTGATATTAAAAATGCCGGAAACATAATAAATAGTTTGTTATTGAAGTGGTTAAAAGTGGTGAACTTTTCAAATTTATAAAAGGGAAAATCGAAAAAATTTTCAATTAGTAAACTATTTTTTCCCGATCTGGAACAGAGCATTTTTTATTATACATATATGTTTTATTATATATTTTATTATGTCCATGATGCAATAATAAGTTGATGTTTCAAAACAAAAACATTTGTTTTTGTCTTGACTATCTGTCAAATTTTTCCTTATAATATTTTACATGGCTGGCGACATTGCACATCTAATTCAAGTACAAATTACGCACTTTGATGGGTAATCCTTTTTAATTGTGCCATGATTATGTCCATAATTTGCTAATGGTACTAATTGCCTTCAGAAAAAACTCTAGGTGAATATCAGCTGATTTGAACAACAGCTGATCTTATAAATTCTTATAAATTCAAATAAGCTGATGCCCAACAAGAGTCTCTCTGAAGGCATTTCGGTATTATAGTGACACATAACAAATTAATTATTTATGTTTAACAATTTGGAAACTAAAATTATATGAAGAAATATAAAAAAGATTCTGAACAGAAACCTGAACTATATTTATGAAGAATAAATTTTAATTAATATATGTATATTCCATATGTGTTTCAACGAAGTGAAATTTTGCGATAAATCATGTCGAATTTGCAAACAACACCTGTTTTGAAAATACCTCCAACCTCTACTCTATAAATATTGGCAAATAAATAAAAAAAGCAATTTAAGGTTATTAGGTGTTTCCGAACATATTATATTCAAGTGTGTTACGTTTTATTGAGTTCCACTTATAATCAGCAATTTATTGAAAACGCCCCATCATTACTTCAAACAAGTTTGAGTTTGAGGTATATCCCCAAAAAATAAAAAAGAAGCAGAGACAGCACAAAAACAAATATCAGTCACTCAATCAACCAGAAATGAAATATTGGCGATAATCGACAGCAACAACATACATACATAATGTATGGACCAGATTTCTATTCTCTTTTTCTGTTTTTTGATTCTCCCCTTCTTCCATAGAATCGGAAAAAAATCTTTTAATAAAATCTTAGTATTTCTGTTGTCGTCAAAGCGAATCGATGTCTGTGGCGATCACATCGGCTACTGATTATTGTCAAAAATGAAAATCATAAAATTATCAATTCGTATTTTGTCAATACTCTTGGTATTTGTGTTGAATATTGTGAATCCAATTGTGGAGATTAATGGCCAGGTTATAACTGTGGCGGTGGCCACTTCCAGTTCGTTTAGTAATGGCAATCGTGGACAATCCTTTGCTACGGCCAATTCCAATTCTGTGGTGAATATAAGGAATCAGGGTAATAGACAACCCCAACAGCAACTACAACAGCTACGACCCGGATTAAATCAAATTAAGAAACCAATTCAGGGACAACATGTAACGCAGGGTAGTGTACATAGACCCCAGCTTAATCAGAACAAACCACAACAACATCACAATAATCAGCAAGGCCATCAAAGACCTCATCAGCAACAACAACAACATAACAATCAAGGTAATCGCCATCAACACCCAGCGGGTCATCAGAACCAAGCCAGACCTAATAATATTAATCAGAACAACAACAACAACAATGGGAATAAGAAAGTAAATCCACAACAACATCACCCGACTGGTCAACCGAATCGACTTAATATTAATAACAACAATAATAATAACAACAACAAAAGTAATAACAATAGCAACAGCAATAGTAATAAAAACAACAATAATAATAACAATAACAACAACAACAATAATAATAACAACAACAATAATAGCAATAGCAACAGTAGTAGTAATAAAAACAATAACAACAATAATAATAATAACAACAACAATAATAGCAACAGTAGCAGTAATAAAAACAATAATAATAACAACAATAATAACAACAACAATGCTAATAACAACAGAGTAACTCAAAAACCACCCATTTCTGGTCCACAGAACCAAGCTGCCAAACCCAACAATAATATTAATAATAACAATAACAACAACAATATAATTGTTAATAATATTATAAATAATCAACAACAACAACAAATCTTCAATTACCAAGATCAGTTACTGGCAAATCCGCAACTAAACATCTACGGTCAATATCTGACAGGATATTATCCGAGACCACCATATAATCCCTTCGGGTATCAACAACCATTTTTACCCACATATCCCCACCGACCAAATCCATTTGCACCACCACCTCAAATAGGATTGGGTGAAATACCCAATTCTGGTCTGGGACAAATTCCCAATTCTGGCCTAGGTCAAATACCCAATTCTGGCCTCGGTCAAATACCCAATCCTGGACTGGGTCAAATACCAAATGCGGGAATAACAGATCCCTTTGATCCAAATATACAAATACCCAACAACAATGTACCGCCGGCTTTCAACATACAAACACCCCCGGGACAGATTGGTCAACCACTGAATGGCAACCCCACCTTGGGACAACTTGTTCAGACACCCAATCAACAGCTTACACCAAATGCCAATATACCACCTTTTAACGTTCAAATACCTTCCGAAAATCAACAGCCAAACAGCAATCCCTCATTTGGTATTGTGCAGACACCAAATCCGAATTTACAAGGCAGTCTAGCACAATTACCCACCACCGGTAATACTCCATCGTTGGGCAATGGCGGGATTCCACCCAACAATCAATTAAATCCCAATGTAAATCCCCCATTTGGCAGCATACAAACACCCAATCCAAATTTAAATTGCCAACTTCCAAATTCTCCAAATTGCAATTTGGGTTCCAATCAGGACGTACTAATTTCACAAAATGTCGACAATCCCCTGTTTGAACCAAATCCGCCCGCAACAAATAACAACAACATAAATGGTCCGGTTCTAAGTCCTATGCCACCAACCACCATGAAACCAGTAACAGAGACTTCCACTATTTCTCAAAGTTTAATAGAAGCAATTTTTACACCAAAAGCCACAACCCCATCAATAAGAACAACAACAACCACAAGACAACCTTCAATAAATCCCGATGCCATTGTTAATCCAGATTCACCAAATTATCATAAAACTCCCATTGACGAAACGGAGGAATACTATCCCGGCATTGATGTTAGAATAGGAAACTAATTTAAGGGTATAAAATGTTATAAATATAAAATGTTTTATTTTTGTAATTTAATAAAATAAACTTAGTATGACAACAACAACAATATTAACTTTGTTTTAACTAAAATTCGAAATTCGTAATATTACATTTTTAAGAAGCTAGAATCCGAAACCTGTTCCGGGGTTCAGATGTCAGATTAAACTCAAGAATTGTGAACTGGGAGTTCCTGTAGTTGGGGTTCTTGGTTATTTACCTTCTTAGGTATTGCCATTTTTTCTCTGGGGGCGCTATACAGAGGATTTTTAATTTAGTTTTAAAAACTCCACATACCACAATTCATTTATTTTGTTTTTTGCGACATTGATATTTCCAGTATCATTCACCACATTCAAGTACATTTTCTGTAAATACATCTAGTTGCGGAATGAGTTCAAGGTATTCAATAATGTCAATAGCATTTATTTAGGTCAATACATACATATTTCATTATTTTCTTGTATATTTTTAATTACTTCCTTATGTATTTGTCCGGCAGCATTTGGGTACAGCCGTTAAAAAAACTTGAATTTAATGAATAGCTCATAAGGAAACCAGTTTTTAAAGTTCATTATTGCCGTACATGCCACTTATATTATTTCATAAAAGGAGATATTGAACCTGAAGTAATCACCATTCAACTGTGTGAATTGTAAAGAAAAAATGCGAGGATACAATATAAAATCTACACAGTGATCAAAGAGAAGGGCCACAGAAAGCATGTAAACAATTTTTCACTTAAAAGACCTAAGTAGATCATGGATCCCGCACAATTTGACAATCGCTGAAAAAGGACTCGTGTCCAATTGCTGCAAAGACATTTTGAAGAAAGTCGTCATTAGGTTCGGCCGGTCGGAACTTTTCATACTCTCCAGAATGTGGTAGATATGCAATAAAACTAAAATCGATCTGGATTTTTTTATGAATTTTTTATATCACGAGCATGGATTAAAAAAATAATTAATTTCTATCAAAGTCACGGATTTTTTTAAATACATTCATTTTTAAAAGCTATCAAAGGCGTAGATTTTTCATTAACACTTTTTTTAAAGTCGTTCAAAACGTGGATTTTTTAAATTTAAAAGACGTAGGTTTTTAAAAATATGTTTTCAAAGACTATAAAAAGCATGGATTTTTTTAAATTTTTTTTCAAGAGCTATCAAACGCTTGAATTTTTTTACTCTACACAACTTAGTTGCCAGGGTATTATAGCTTTGTGCAGCCCACACCTTTATGTATACCGTATATCGACTATCATTACGAAATTTTGCATGTGGGATGGGTTCTGGCCAATGAAGACTATTGTTTTTGGTAAAGATCAGTTAATATTTAGGGGATGAAATGGACCAAATACTAAATGTATGTCGGGTTTTCTAGTCGCTCCAGAGACTGTAATTATTGCCGAACATCGTGAAATTTTACATGTAGAAGAGGATCGGGCTAAAGAAAAGGCGTACCTGCTTTGATAAAGATCAGTCAATATTTAGCGGGTCAAATGGACCCTGACTTTTGTGTTATTTAGTCCTGAAGGACATAGACCCGAGAAGTTGATAGCATATCCAAGAGGAGTGGTTGACCTTTAAATTGATACCAATATGTACTCGGATGCGGGAATTACACTTAAATATTTACAGGTGCTTACGTATTCATATATTATTAAGTAATCTATTACCACACTGGAGGGCGAAAATATAGCGCTGATCGCTTTGAAATTTTCCATGAGGAACCAGGTATGGTCAAGGACAACGCCTTCAATTTTCGGTGATGATCAGATAATAATATTGGGATGAGGTGGAACGAAAACATAATTTGTTGTGTTTTTTCGATCTATAGGCCACTATTGAAAGCCTATCATCAAATCACAACGCACTGTGTTGGCCGGTCAAGAGGGTGCAAATATCGCGAAATATTGCCCATGCTCAGAATATAGAACTACATAAAGTTATATTTTCGTAGAAGTTGTGTAGGGTATCATATGGTCGGCCCGTCCGACTAATCCGCTCACTGGTTTTTTAAATGCTTTAAATTCGTAGTTTTTTTTAATATTTTTCAAATGCTAATAGCAGGTGCGGATTGGCTTGGATTTTTTTATAAATATTTTTTCAAATGCTGAAAAAATTGTGGATTTTTTAAAATATTTTTTTTTTTAATCTATTACAGTCGCTAATTTTCTTATTTTTCTTTTCAAAGGGATTTTCAAAACTTGATTTTTTAATTTTTTTTCAAAAGCTATCAATGATTTTAGTTTTAAATGGCATTGTCGAATGTTTCCTTTATTCTTTTTAATAAACTTTCTTTTGTTTACAATTAATTAAAATCCCGGTCTATTGAACATTCCATTGTAACCACCACCATATCCGCTACCATAGCCATAACCACCAGGGGCCTGTTGCAGGGGACCAGTATGAGAACCCACCTCAGTATATTCTGAATTGGTTTTTAATGAGTGATTATATACGCTGTAACCACGATTGCCTTGATATCCATAAGGGCCAGGATGGGCACCAGGGGAATAATGACCGCCATATGCACCACCATTGGCGGGTTGAGAGGGTGGCGCACCACTACCATAACCAGAATATCCATAACCACCTGATGGAGGTGGTGGAAGTGAATGTGTTGTAGATGGAACTGGATGAGTCGGAGGATGTGCACTTGCATATCCTGTTGCCTGGGGAACTGGCTGAGTCGGAGGTTGTACACCTACATATCCCGTAGCCGGAGGATATACACCATAGCCGTAAGCTCCATAAGCAGGACCACTTGGAGGTAAAGAACTGGCTGGAGCAGCATGACCTAATTTAATTATTTTCTTTTAATAATAGCGATTCACAATAATTTTTTATAAGGACAGTTACCATAATTATATTGCCCATAGCCTGGTGAAGGTAATGATGGACCCGAAGAACCATGAACTACATTTGGACTTGGTGATGGATAAACAATACTATTACCGTGTGATACAGATTTCGCTAGCGGCGGACAACCTTGAGCATTTGAGCATGGTGAAGGGGCAACAAATCCAGGGACATTTATGGGACAACCTCCAGTACCTCCAGAACAGGGTGATGGAGCAGCATCATAAGTATGCTTACGATGATGTTTACTTGTCTCACTGGTATCCAATATTGAAGTTACGGCACTATATAACGACTTGGATTTCTCATCCGTCTCTTCACTGGTATAACGGGCATTTGTCGTGCCCGCTAAAACGCTCACAAAGACCAGAACGACCGACAAGAAAACTATGCGCATTGTAAATAGTTTTAAATACCCTTATCCTAGGCCCGATTAAATACGACTAATGTAGCATTCAAAATAAATTCACTACACAAAGTACTCATCTACAGTGTTGGCCACAAATTAAAATTGACATCGAGGTTATCATTTTGATTTCCTAGAATTTGATTAGGGTTTATTTAAAAAAAGAGGAAACATTTTTAGATTTCACTTTCAAATGCTTTAAATTCAAAAAAAATATAACAACAATAACAAAAAGAACATTTAGAATCATGTATAATTTACTCATCTTTCTAAACTTGTAATTCTGCCGATATGACAATGAAACTAGCTTGAGGTTTTAACATCTGATCAGCATTCGTATTAAAATAAATTATAATTCTTAGAGATTCTGCCGGTGGTGAGTAAACCCTTATCACTTAATTGCTGTTTTGTAATGTGGGTAATTCATAAAAGATGGGAATATTTAGAATAACATTTCAAACCGAACCGAAAAGAAAATCCCATGGAAAATACTTTTTTCGCTTTATGGAATTTCCATCTTGAGATGTAAATACTGTATTGAGGAAAATTTATAATTTAAAAAACGCAAAATATATTATTGTATCGTGAACTGCTTAAAAATATTAAAATACAATCTCTATCAGAACCGTGGGTTTTTAAAAAATATTTATTAGGTCTATGAGAAGCGTAGATTTATATAATATATTTGTGTACCTTTCACAACCAAGTTGTCAGGGTATTGTAGTTTTGTGCCGCCCCGAAACGACATTTTATACAGTGAAAGGGTCTGACCATAGAATAAACATGACTGTTTTGAATTCAGACTTTTGTGTGAAAATTTAGAAAATTAGAAATGTCAAGATCTGTCGTATGCGTGGATTTTTAAATACTTTTTTTCAACGGATTTATATGCATGGCTTTTAAAATTACTTTTTTCAAGGTCTTTCTCATGCATGTATTTTTAAAAAATCAAATTTTCAATTCAAAGCGTCACACATCATAGCAACGACTTCGCATGACTTCCCCATAAGTACTAGGAACGCATGCATAGGCATTTACTCGCGTTGACTACTCTATCATATAATTCTCATTCACGTTGTGACTCCGCAAACAGAAGTATTTCACTTTCATCTACTGAGGGCGGCTTGTCATTGTCTATGCTTGCAATTTTGTGTTGTGGATGTTCATTGCACTTACGATCATTCACAATTATTTTTGGTGGCTACCCATTGTGGCGGCTACATAAATACATCCACACAGAGACTTCGGTATACTGTCCCACACAGAGACTTCGGTATACTGTTCCACACAGAGGTTTCGGCTTACTGTTTCACACAGATACTTCAGTCTACTGTTCCACGCAGAGGCTTCGGCTTACTGTTCGTAGTTAGATATAGTAGATTGTACGAAAACATAGTCATTAAACAGCTACTAACATCGTTCCCGATCACCGTTAAATCGTCGTTGCCGATCATCGTACCATCGACACCAGATAACCATCATTCCCGACATTCGCCATTCCCGATCACCGTTGAATCATCATTGCCGATCATCGATTCCGACTCCCGACAACCATCATTCCCGATCACAGTTAAATCGTCGTAGTCGCTCCCGATAATCACCAGCATATTAAGCCACCCGAAATCAATTATGTGTATCGCATATTTATATATAAACACACTAGTATTAAAATCAATAAACATTAGATTTGAAATCCCAAAGAGAGACACTAGTCTTTTTAATCTATAAGGTTTTGTGGGTCTTTATGGAGACCTTGGACAATTTGTTAAACATCATTTTTGCAACAGCTTTCATAGGCGTGGATTTTTAAAAAATTATTTTTCAAGGGCTTTCAAAGGTCTTCTATTAAAAGATTTCTGGGCTTTCTATATGAATACCTTTTGGTATTCTATAGTAGCATATTTTATTTTTACAGTTTTGTTGACTAGTGTAATACAGTGAACTCTCGATAATGTAAACATCCAAAACAGTGAACTCTCGATCATGTGAACTAATAAAGGTCGGAGTAGTTCATATTTTCGAATTTGTTCACATTTTCGATTCGAGCAGCTTATTTACCGCTTATTCCCTAATATTTTCAATACTTTAATGTCAGTTTGAGTGTTCCCTTTATCGAGAGTTCACTGTAATTATATATTGTTGTTATCATTGAGAACAGAAAAAATAGCCCCAGGAGAACAAGTATTTTGTCAGTACTGAGTCATTGATGATACACCGTACTGATGAGATGAAGATCACTGCATTCTGTTAATGGTATTCATGAGCAAAGGCGATGGTTTTATTTCAGCTTATCAATTCGTTCGATTCTTCTTCTTAGTTATTTATTTCAAGAAGAAGAGAAAAACAAGCACTCAAAGCTTCTGAAGATGCCCGCGTTACACATCTGCAGTTTCCGAAGCGATGTCCAACGCGTAAGAAGTGTCGTGTGTTCGTTTCCATTAAGGGAAAATAAATGGTTTTGTTCTGATTTTGTTTTATGTTCTACTAAACAAAAGAAAATAGTTCACAATGAACAACAAACAGTCTGAACTGATAATGTTAGTACTTGTTTTAGTACTCCAATTGCCGAATCAGGCTTTGTCAACATTCCATTTGCCACCGCATGAAATGAAAACCAAAATACTCAATGGTGTTGGAAATTTATTGGGTTCGATATTGAATGTTAATAGCAATAATAATGGGCACGAACATAAATTTGGCCCCATATCAATGAATATTGGTTTTCAACCACATCAGTATACACCGGAAAATTATCAATACGTGCCCCCGCCACCACCACCTTCAGCGGGAATGTCACCTTACACCCACATGAACGGTTACTATCCCTATGCGCAACCAAATAATCAATATTTACCACCACAAGGACATTACAACATGGGAGGTTATTATCCGCAAGCACCAATGTTTCAACAACCACAACCACTTATGCGATATCCAAATGTACCCGAACAACCCCAGCCACCAGCACCAGACTCTACATATGAAAATCCCTATACCTATACCGTTGGCCCCATTTACCGAAATGCCATCATTGCCTAATGGCCCAATATTGCCGAAGACACCCGCAGCAACACCTCGACCACATCGGCACCTTAAGAAAGGTGCAATAATAACACCAGATTCATCGCTATATATTCATATACCACAGGATAAGCCGACAATCGATATTGATCCCAGACGTTAAAGTCGAGAAAATAGTTGATAAAAATTATTATAGTTTTATAGCGAAAAAAAAAATAAAAAATATTTAAATAAAACCTTACAGATATTTTTCACAGACACAATCCACAATGCATCGGATTTCTTATAGTCGGTCTTCTTATAGAAGAACTGAAAACGATATTTTTATAGAAGAGAGCTTTCTCAAAAAAAAAATTGAAGGTCTAATCATAGAAGAGCCGAAGGTCTATAGAAGAGAGCTAAATGACTTTCTCAAAGAAAAATTGAAGGGTACTCATAGAAGAGAAGTATTCTCATAGAAAAGCTGTAAGTCTTCTCATGGAAGAGCTGAAGGTCTCTTCTCATAGAAGAGCTGAAGGTCTCTTCTCAAAGAAGAGCTGAAGTTATATTCTCATTGAAGAGCTAACGAGGGTCTTCTCATTGAAGAGCTGAAGAGGGTCTTCTCATAGAAGAGCCGAAGAAGGTCTTCTCATCTATGACCTGAAGAAGGTCTTCTCATCTATGACCTGAAGAGGGTCTTCTCATAGAAGACCTGAAGAGGGTCTTCTCATAGAAGAGCTGAAGAGGTTCTTCTCATAGAAGACCTGAAGAGGGTCTTCTCATAGAAGACATGAAGAGGGTCTTCTCATAGAAGACCTGAAGAGGGTCTTCTCATAGAAGACCTGAAGAGGGTCTTCTCATAGAAGACCTGAAGACGGTATTCTCATAGAAGACCTGAAGACGGTATTCTCATAGAAGAGGGTCTTCTCATAGAAGAGCTGAAGAGGGTCTTCTCATAGAAGAGCTGAAGAGGGTCTTCTCATAGAAGAGCTGAAGAGGATCTCTTCTCATAGAAGAGCTGAAGAAGGTCTTCTCATAGAAGACCTGAAGAGGGTCTTCTCATAGAAGAGCTGAAGAGGGTCTTCTCATAGAAGAGCTGAAGAGGGTCTTCTCATAGAAGAGCTGAAGAGGGTCTTCTCATAGAAATGCTGAAGAGGGTCTTCTCATAGAAGAGCTGAAGAGGGTCTTCTCATAGAAGAGCTGAGAAGGATCTTCTCTTAAGAGCTGAAGGGGGTCTTCTTATAGAAGAGGGTCTTCTCATAGAAGAGCTGAAGAGGGTCTTCTCATAGAAGAGCTGAAGAGGGTCTTCTCATAGAAGAGCTGAAGAAGGTCTTCTCATAGAAGACCTGAAGAGGGTCTTCTCATAGAAGAGCTGAAGAGGGTCTTCTCATAGAAGAGCTGAAGAGGGTCCTCTCATAGAAGAGCTGAAGAGGGTCTTCTCATAGAAGAGCTGAAGAAGGTCTTCTCATAGAAGATCTGAAGAGGGTCTTCTTATAGAAGAGGGTCTTCTCATAGAAGAGCTGAAGATGGTCTTCTCATAGAAGATCTGAAGAGGGTCTTCTCATAGAAGAGCTGAAGAGGGTCTTCTAATAGAAGAGCTGAAGAGGGTCTTCTCATGGAAGAGCTGAAGAGGGTCTTCTCATGGAAGAGCTGAAGAGGGTCTTCCCATAGAAGAGCTGAAGAGGGTCTTCTCATAGAAGAGCTGAAGAGGGTCTTCCATTAAAGATCTGAAGAGGGTCTTCTCATTGAAGACCTGAAGAGGGTCTTCTCATAGAAGACCTGAAGAGGGTCTTCTCATAGAAGACCTGAAGAGGGTCTTCTCATAGAAGAGGGTCTTCTCATAGAAGAGGGTCTTCTCATAGAAGAGGGTCTTCTCATAGAAGAGGTGAAAAGGGTCTTCTCATAGAAGAGCTGAAAAGGGTCTTCTCATAGAAGAGCTGAAGAAGGTCTTCTCATAGAAGATCTGAAGAGGGTCTTCTTATAGAAGAGGGTCTTCTCATAGAAGAGCTGAAGAGGGTCTTCTCATAGAAGAGCTGAAGAGGGTCCTCTCATAGAAGAGCTGAAGAGGGTCTTCTCATAGAAGAGCTGAAGAAGGTCTTCTCATAGAAGATCTGAAGAGGGTCTTCTTATAGAAGAGGGTCTTCTTATAGAAGAGGGTCTTCTCATAGAAGAGCTGAAGATGGTCTTCTCATAGAAGATCTGAAGAGGGTCTTCTAATAGAAGAGCTGAAGAGGGTCTTCTCATGGAAGAGCTGAAGAGGGTCTTCTCATGGAAGAGCTGAAGAGGGTCTTCCCATAGAAGAGCTGAAGAGGGTCTTCTCATAGAAGAGCTGAAGAGGGTCTTCCATTAAAGATCTGAAGAGGGTCTTCTCATTGAAGACCTGAAAAGGGTCTTCTCATAGAAGACCTGAAGAGGGTCTTCTCATAGAAGACCTGAAGAGGGTCTTCTCATAGAAGAGGGTCTTCTCATAGAAGAGGGTCTTCTCATAGAAGAGGGTCTTCTCATAGAAGAGCTGAAAAGGGTCTTCTCATAGAAGAGCTGAAAAGGGTCTTCTCATAGAAGAGCTAAAGAGGGTCTTCTCATAGAAGAGCTGAAGAGGGTCTTCTCATAGAAGAGCTAAAGAGGGTCTTCTCATAGAAGAGCTAAAGAGGGTCTTCTCATAGAAGAGCTGAAGAAGGTATTTTGGTGAAAAAAGGACGACCTTCTTATGGAAAAGGAAGGATTCCCTCTTACTTATGACCCTTTTTGGTCATCTTAAGATTTGTCAAAGAGCCGAAGGTCCTCCAATAGAAGTCCAGATAATGAACATGCAAATATTTCCTACCAGATGTGCCCAAACGTAAATATGATGCAATTTATATATGTATATGTTTACATATATATGTGTATTTATTTAAAGTTATATGTATATGTGTGTACATAATTTACCATAATATTAATTTTCCCCCTATATATCGCCTTTATTTTTTAACCCTTCTCATGGCTCTCTTCGAATTCATCAAACGATTTAAATTCTTCGACATATAATATGGCTTCTCCTCAGATCCATCATTCTCATTGATATCTTCCAAGAAGCAAAAGAACAGCGTATCCACAGCCATACCATAGGTGCTGAATATAACTTCCGCCATTATATAGCCCAAGATAATAACCAAACTGATGGGAACCAATGGATAGTTAATAATAAAAATATTCGGATATGTTACCAACACCGCATACGTGGCACAACATGTCAACGAGGTCAGCAAAATTTTCGATAGGAAGAAAACAAAATCGGATACCTTGTCAATGGCATACATCCGTAAAATATTCTGGGTGATTAGGCGGAAGGCCTGTTGCGAACTGGCGCAGAAACTCGTACTGTGAATGGCACACGTGATGTAAGCATTACGATTTAGGAAACGCAAGAAATTCTCCAATAGCCAAAAGAAGCATTTCATGCAGCAGAGCAAGGCTTCGGTCACCTTGTTCTCGTACATCTTCAGGCGTTTCTCAAGCATTTCCAGGAGATAGCGTATCATGCGGCAGGTGGCCAAAATCAATGAACCAAACGCCACTGTTCCCAAATGGTATAGGGTGGTATTGCCGATAGCCTTTAGCAGGGGTGTCGATGCCAAATTCTTCTTCTTATCGAAGGTCCAATACCACATGGAAAAGGTGCAGGCCAGAACCATATCACCATAGGCCGAGATGAAAAAGGTCACCCAGAAATAGGTGAACACACAAAAATAGATGGCCCATATAATCTTTGGCTGCTTCTCAATTTCGACAAACCGACAAACGGTCTCCACACAGCTTTTATTGGTGCCCAAAATGTGACAGAATTTCTCGAACGTTTCAGGTTCACAGCGCTCATCTAATTCGTAGCTGATTGCAGGTCCACCGCATTCGCATTGTTCGGGCAAGTAGATAGCATTCGGTTTCAATTGTGTAAATAATCGAAACGATTTTCGGCCAATCGAATTCAAGTATAGCAGAACTATTATGGTCATTACAGAAACCAAGATGTACAGCACACCCGGAAAGATGGGGAAAAATATGGAACTTTTTATCGAAGTTATGGCCTTGCTGGCCTCTTTTATCAGGGCAACAGCTACACAAATCCGTTTACGCAGTACCATTACAATGAGGAAGACAATGAGCAGAACGGCCCCCACAAATACCGATAACCACTTCCAGAACTCTTGACTGTGCAGTAGATTTTTTAGGGACGCGATTAGATTGGGATTGTGTTGCGGAGCTTGAGGATATGCGCTATAGAATTTATACTGCTTGATGCTATAGTAAAGCCCCAGGACGAGGCCCAGGATAACGCCCACAATCGAAATCCAAACCAACGGCTTGGCAAGCCAACGCAGGAGGGCGATGAAAACCAATGCGAATGCAATGTGAATGATAAATGCCATAAGTACCACCTTCCACGATGACTTCAGATCCGTGGTGATGTCCTCGGCCAAACGTTCGTTATTTGCCATGTCGTTACTGCTGCCGAACTTGGCAATAATTGCTGCAATAATTTTCGTCACACTCGACTGGCTTTGTTGGACCTTTTGCTTCAGCAGCAAATCGGCAGTTGTGTCATTTTGACGACACAGGTCGGCTGTTCGCTTTTGGAATTCGACGAATCTATCGAAAATGTCTGAAGCACTGCGGCGTCTACGATTTTTCAGGGATTCGGGTAGAAAACGACAAAGGTCCTGATTGGAAATCGGAAGGCAATGGTTAAAGATGTTGCTACTTTTCACATACAGTCCGCTACAACGTCCCTGGGCAATGGTCGCATTGATGTCCTGACGACTGCGCAGTTTTCCCTTATCCACATCATCATCACAAATCAATAGCTGTTTCACATGTTCCAATTCACTGTCCTGCACATGATCACCCCACACAAAGGATTCCTGGGGACATTGGTCGACACACACCTGTTTTGTTTTGCAGCCATGCAGGGCGACTTCAGGATCCAAACACTTGTCCAAATCGAAAAAATACAAATAGGGTTTGTTAGTCACCCCTGAATCGATGCCACATTTACGATTATTCGAATCGGCGGGTATGACGACATTATTCAAATTACCCCGCGTTATGGCGTAATGAGCAATGAAGAACCAAGTCGCAATGAAACAGGCGAATATAACCAGGCAATGGAGATCGGTGCAGGTGTGTTTTTTGTGATTTACTTCCGGTATTTGGGGCATATCGCGTTTCGCCTTTGACATCTGCCTCTGCAATGGTACCATTTCCTCCATTCGCATGGAATTTCTGGTGGACATACGTTTTCCAGGACTGGGATCCACCATCATCTCTTCCGTTAGCATGGAATTCCTTGTGGACATACGTTTGCCACGACTCGGTTCCATCATCTCTTCCATTAGCATGGAATTTCTTGTGGACATACGTTTTCCACGACTCGGGTCCATCATCTCTTCCATAATATTAGCATTCTGCCACATTCCCATGGGCCCACCAATACCACCACCACCTTGCATGGACATTCGCTGTGCCCTTTGAAAATCCATCTTGGCTTTTGAAATGGATGGATTTATCCTTTCCGAAATGTTGTTGTTCTGCTTTGGATTGGTAATCGTTCGTCGTTCAATCTGTTTGCCACTTCAAATTACAACTGAATTGAAATCACCACCATTGGTATTACCAAAGATATATAATATCGAATATGTTTACCATAGCTTAGAACTAATGGCGCAGATTGAAATCGGTATTTTTACTTGTGGTTTCAATTTGTTTTCTTTTAAATAACAATTCAAAACCTCAATGATGATTTCATTTTACATATTATTTATATTATCAAGAAAGAGTGGGGGTAATAATTTCAAATACTTCTGTAATATAATTACAGATCTGCAGGAAATTAAACGGGATTTTCTAGGGGTTTATTTCCAAAATTAAATTTCGTTGGGAAAATGTGAATAAATCCCTCAAAATGCTGAGAATTGGGCGGGATCCCAATACAGGGCGCATGTAAAAACATAAATCGAAGTATGTCCTCCACGATGTTTTTCAGCCTCCATGAACTGGGAATTCCCCTTCGATGCGAAAATCGGACGGAACCTTTGAATGGGGAGCTATGCCCAAAAAATGGGCCTATATCGAAAATGGGCACAGCACAACGATTTACATTATTTTAGCTTAGCTGTCTGAATTATCCACATTTCCAAATGGCAACCAACTGACACATGATACCACGTCGGTCTTGTGCGCAGGTTTCCAATTTGAAAGACCATGTTCGAAATGTTGTCTTCCACTTGGTCTTTCCATTGAACCATCAGTTGGCTCGTTTTTATATGACTGTTTTGCTGGGGCATCCTCATCCATTGGCACAACATGACCTAGCCGACATGTATTCCTCTAACAAATGTTTTGTCACAAGCCAGCTAAGTAAAGGCGCAAATCGAATAACCTGGCCACCTCTAGTCAGACCAAATTCACCCACTACAATACGCTGATACTACCCGTGCTGTTATATGGATCAGAAGCATGGCAAGCAGATGAGGCAGCTCTTGGTATTTGAAAGAAATTTTCTCGGTAAAACGGTAAATATCGGCGTCGAATTAACCCATGAGTTGTACCACCTATTTTCGGACATCGGCATTGTCAGACGTATCGAGCTACAACAACTACGTTGGCTAGGTCATGTTTTGAGAATGGATGCAACAGCACAAAAGGCGTGTAAAAGCCAGCCAATTAATGGCTTACGCAGAAGGGGAAGGTCATGAATTCGATGGAAAGATCAAGTCGAAGAGAATATTTCGAAGCATGTCCTTTCAAATTGGAAAAGCTGCATGCAATACCGACGCGCTCGGCTTATGGAACAAATGTTTATGGAACAAGCTCGGCTTATGGAACAAATGTTCTGTCACATGCTAGCTAAGTATATAAAGTCACATCTTAACGGAGAATAAAATAAAAAAATAAATTCACATACATTGTTTAAATTAATTTCCTTCTTTTATTTATTTTACAATCAAATTATTTTTCTTAACTTAAATCTACAGCCAATAGCATCACAGTGACCAAAAAAAAAATTGTCGAATCTTTGCTTTATCCACCACCACTTGGTGGAGCAAACGGTTGCGCAGGAAAAGGCCGTTTGCGATAATTCACATATGGATTACCACTATGGTATTTGGCAATTTGATTGTAGGTACGGAATTTACGTTCTCCACCAGCAGCTCCGGCACTATTACGGGGTCTATAACGTCCTCCAAAAATATATCCCGCACACAATTCCTGACACAATGTTAAAATAACAAAACCGAAAATGATGTTTAAAACTTTCATTGTGTTCGTTAAGCGTTGCCACAACTTCTAGCTGTGATGACATTGGATTTACTACTTTACCAGAACTCACTTTTCAAAATGGTATTTATATAGAACACGAAGAAGCATTTTTTTCTAAAATAATGAACAACAACAAATTCCCTCCTTCTCTTTTTATCCCATGCTAATACCATTTATCCATCCATTAACATTATTTCTTCTTCTTCTCCTGCATAAAGATTTTTGTGATTCATTCATTTTTACGACTTTGTTTAGAAATGTTATACAAAATTCCAAATAAGAGTAAAAAAAAAATTCTTAATTTATTATTGTTTTGATCGGGATGACAACTACAAAAGCTGGCTAATAGTTTACTCTTCTCCTGGTTCGCAGAGATATGAGATATGCTGGTCTATGTTATGTGTTATATGCTCGATTTCAATTCAAATCACGTCCACACTACCAGCACTTGAAATGAATTTAAGTGCTGTTAACGGAAAAAAAACCTTATCGGATATCATTTTCAAAAAAAAAAAAAAAATACTATTATTCACCTGATTGACATGTACAGGTTCTGCCGAAAGTGGGATTACACAATATTATCATAGGTCGTAATAGGCAAATATTCTTTTCAGAAGAAAATGAAATAAAATTTAATTGATTTTATGAACGATACAGGTCTCTAAAGTTCCGCCTCCATATCATAATAAGAGACATACCAAATATATTTCTGGTCCAATAATGAAAATGCGAAGTAAAGAAAAAACGTATTTAAGCTGAAATTGGAAAAAACACCGAAGTCGCGACCTTCCCCTTCTTCGTGAACCACCAGTTGGTTCGCTTTAATGTGCTTCATCCATTCTTACAACATGACCTAGCGTAGTTCCTGCAGCTCGATACGTCTGTCTATATAGATGGTACAACTCGTGGTTCATTCGACGGCGATATGCACCGTCAACACAGATCGGCCCACAGATCTTCCGTAGAATATTTCTCTCGAACACTCCAAGAGCTGCCTCATCTGCTTGCACAAGTGTCCATGCTTCAGATCCATACAACAGCACGGGTAATATCAGCTTCTTGTAGTGTGAGTTTGGTCTGGCGAGAGGTGGCCTTGCTTCTGAGCTGCTTACTCAGACCATAGTAGCATCTGTTGGCCAACACTATTCTCCTCCGGATTTGAAAGCTGATGTTAGTAGTTTTGTTTATGGCGGTACCGAGGTATATAAAATCGTTTACTACCTCGAAGCTGTAGTTTTCAATTCGTTTTAAGGTTTCTGTTACCATTCGCAATGTTCGACCCATTATATCGATGTCGTCGGCGTAGGCGAGAAGCATATGCTGTTTGGTGTACAGAGTGCCATTTATGTTCACATTTGCAGGACACACTTTAATTGCTGACATTGTAGCAGTTAAAGTTATCCTGCATAGCCGTATTAATTGTGCAGGAATGCCAAACGAAGTCATGGCTTTAAACACCTCTGAACGGATAGGGCCAGATTTCCTCTCTAAATTTGTAGTCCAACAAAGCAATGGAAAAAGCTTCAATCCTTTCAGAATGCCACTCTAAGGACTGCATCGGGGTGTTTCGTCTTGACTCCAATAGACCACTTAGATGAGGAGATGAATATGCATCCAATGCCATCCAAATCATCACCTTAAGGATGGGCACCCATGTCAGGAAGGATCTTCATGAGCTGGAGAGTGAGAGAGAGGCACAAAAGGGAGCCTCTAGATTAACAGGCATATCAAGCAGGACTGTATTCACACGGATGCAGTTGAGGAAGCAATTCAAGAATATATAATGAATACAATTCTCGGAGATTACCCGTCTACGATAGCAACGAAGAGCAGTAGCTACCACGACGAACCAGAGTATTTGGTCCGGCGTTAACATTGGCGACGTAAGTGCGAGAATTTCCAAGGATAAAGAAACGCTGGTAACGACTTATAAGGCCATAGGTCATTTCATCCTGAATTATGCTGCCCCAGTCTGGACTTCTTTCCTTAGTGACACACAATGGAGATCCTTGCAAACAAGTCAAAATAATGACTCCGAATTGCAACCGGCTGTGTCCAGATGACGAGCGTCGATCACTTCCATGAGGAGACCAGGATGCTGTCAGCCAAGCAACATAACATAATAAAGTCCTTTGTAGCCATCCTCTTGCAATTTCGGAGAGTGAGAGGCTTCTTCCTAGGCAAACCCGTTCAATTCTGGCACAACAACTCGAGAGTGCATTGTCCCCGGAACCCTAAACAGTTGCCCCTCCTGCCAGCAAAACCCTAACAACACACACCATCTATTCTATTGTCCGTCCGATCCTAAAGTCTACTACCTATAGCCTTATGGCTAAACCCAATAGGTGTGGCACAATTTCTCCGGTTACCCTCTTCAAATACGATTTCCTAATAATAAAATCATATATTTTCCTTCTTCCGTTTTTTTCTATCAACTTTTTCAGGAAGGATGTTTCATCCAAAGCCAATATATTACAACATCGAACCAGAGTGGTCTTGGCCCAAATTCATATTGGACAGGAATTGATGGTTGATGTAGAACGTCGTAAACGTCCGAATTTTTAATATTCTGCACCAATGATGGACATTCAAAATACCTCAAATCCTCTAAAAGATTAGGAAATTGGGCGTAGAAATACAACGTACCAAATATTAAGCGGTGTTATATAAAAACTTAAATCTATTGTTAATATTTTCCGGATAGAAGTTATCCGGAATGCTAAATCGGTGAAGAAACTCAACTATATCAACATTTTCTGCGAAAAAGTCGTTAACCTATGATGTACGCAATATGCTAAATTGCCGATACTTCAATTGGTAAATGTGACTAAGACCTCCAAGGTAGAAAAAATGGGCGGGCAGGAATGTATATGCAACATTTCAAAGCTATATCTTAAACATTGCGACTTCTACGGTGTTGCCATTACTATATCCGCATATAATTTTGTTCTGACCAAAATAGGTATTATTAATAGGTTATATTTATTTTTTTATTTTAAAATCAAATTTGAAAACTGTTAATACTGACGTAGTAAAGTATTGGATGACACCTATAACCATTTCCGAACCAAAGACATTAATAATTTATGTGTTGTATTTGTAGAAAAATATAATTTTATTTTTTTTTATATTCTTAATGGATAACAAAACAATACTAAACCAATAAAAAATAATTTACAGACACATACACAGGTTTATAGTTGGTATTCTTAAAAATTAT